CATCTCTGTACCTTAGACTACCTCCTCTGAAATACAGAGTCAATGACCAAATGTACCATTGCTCACTGAGAGAATTTTTCTTCACCAGTATACTTCAGAGCAACCCGAGTGGGGCTGTAATGAAGGCATGATCTGTTTCTGGATAATGCCAACATATTGAACTGACCCATCTCTGAAGAGACCCAAGCCTCTTCAGTATCTGTCAGTTAGTTGTAGGGAACTTTCAAAAGGCCATAGCTGTAAGTTATGGGTGAGATGGCAGTGGCGCAGAAGTAAGTGATATGGGAGTCCCGGCCAGCTATTTGTGTGACTTATTTGTGCTTTCTTGACCTGTTTAAGCCAGACTCCAAATATACTACATCCTTCACATAGCAGATTGCTGCCACATTTGCTGTACCTTATGATTTGGTGTATCTAAAAGCACACAGCTCATGATAGGTAGCTCATGTTGCATAGTCATGAGCCGTCCAAGGTCAAATTTTTAGCCCCAATGAAGTTTGTTAGCATGCCAGAAACTTTTTTAAATGGAGGGTCTTTTTTTGCCTTAAAAGGCATGTCTTTGCCCCAGAACTTTAGGTATTTGTGCCATGACACTTTGTTACGGGTTGAATTGTACCCCCATTCCACCCCCAATTCACATGTTGAAGTCCTAGCCCCTAACACTTCAGAATGTGAACTTATTTGGGAATAGGATCCTTTCAGAAGTAATTTCTTAAGACTAGGTCATACTGGAGCAGGGTGGGTCCCTGATCTAATATGACTGTCATATTTCCCTTGTTTGGGAAATTTTTATTTTTATTTTTTATACTTTTTGGAGGGGGCACCTGGATGTGAGCTGTTATCCTTATATATAGGGGAAATTTGGACATAGTGCACAGAGAGAATGCCAAATGAAGATGAAGGCAAAGACTGGGGAGATGATTCTACAAAGCCAAGGAATGCCAGACTGCCAGCAAGCCACCAGAAGCTAGGGGAGAGACATGGACAGATTCTTCCTCATAGCCCTCAGATGGAACCACACCTTAATTTCTGACTACTAGCCTCCAGCCTATGAGCCAATAAATTTCTGTTGTTTAAGCTGCCCAGTATGTGATACTTTGTTATGGCAGTCGTAGCAAACTAATACACTCTCCTATTGGGGCTTGCCGGTGGGGGGACTCCATACAGAATCTGTATCCACCAGAGATACTTCTGGAACCACTGTATTTGCAAGTAAGCTTGTGCTGTTGCTTGGACTTACTACAGAGGCCTCTCTTGCTCTGAGCCCTACTAAAAAGTAGAAGCCTTCCAGGTCACCTGATATGTAGGCTGGAACAGTTTTCCCAGGTGCCATATGTGCTGCCTCCAAAATCCAAAGAGGCCCACCAAGCACTGTGCCAATATCTCTGGGATTAGGAGGAAAAAGGTGAAACAACTTGTCCTTTACTTTTGGGTGATGTCCTTACATGCCCTAGACCATTGGACCAGCACCCTCCTCCTTCAAAAAAAGTCACCAATTTGACAAGTCTCTGAATCTTTAGGTTTATGTATTGTCTCGGTAAGATGTCTTACTAGGACATCTATCATCCTTGTCACTTGCTGTTCACTGGGTACAATTAGCATTTGTCATCAATATGGTGGACCAACATGATGGTCAATAATCGTTCCTGTGGACTCAGAACAAGTCTTGGGATCCCACTCTTTCCTTGTATGAGCCCTGACTGTAACTCAGTGGACCTGTTGAGGCTGCACAATTGATTTTTTTCAATTATTGCCAGTGTTATAAACAGATTCTAGGCTTCATTTTCTGCTCAGCCTTCCCAGCTGTAGAATTACTTGGTAATTTATCAGAAATCAGCTACTGTATATATCTAGGTCTATTTCTGGACTTTCTATTCTGCTTTATTGATCTATTTGTTTATCTTTATGTCAATATAATACTGTCTTCATTACTCTAGTTTCATTAAGTCTTAAAATCATGTAAGTACTGTAATTTTATTCTTTTTCAAAATTGCTTTGGCAATTCTAAATCTTTAGCAATTCTAGATAAACTTCAGAATCAGTTTTTCAGTTTCTATAAAAAAAAACCTGCTGGGATTGGGTCGGTATTATTCTGAACATATAGATCAATTTGGGAGAAACTGACAGGGTACCAATATTGATATTGACTTTTCTAATACATGTACATGTTAGATATCTTCATTTATTCAAGTCTTTTAAAAATTTCCCTCTTTTATAATTTTAAATAACAGGGTCTTGTCCATCTTTTGTTAACACCCATTCCTAAGTTTTTTATATTTGCTGGTTTTAATTGTAAATAGTATTATTTTAAAATTTTCATTTTCCAGTTGTTTGTGGCCCATATATATGATGGGCCAGATTGATTTTTGTATAATGACTATTAGTTTCTTATTACTGCTGTAGCATATTACTGCAGATTTAGTTGCTTAAAACAACACAAGTTTACTGTCTTACATTTCAGGAGGTCAGAAGTCTAAAATGAGTCAGCAGTACTATATTCCTGCTGAACATTAGGAGAGAATCTGTTTCCTTACCTTTTCCAGCTTCTAAAGGCTGCCTGCATTCTGTGGCTCATGGCCTCTTCCTTCGCTTTCAAAGCCAGAAGTATAACATCTTCAAATTTCTCTAACACTCCTGCCTCCCTCTTGTAAGGGCTCATGATGACACTGACCTTATCGGATAATACAGAATAGTCTTCTTATCTCAAGACCCTTAGTATAATCATATCTGCAAAGTCCTTTTTTGCCCTGTAAGGAACACATATTCCTAAGTTCCAGCGATTAAGACATGGGCACATTTGGGGAACCAGCAATCTGCTTTACAGTGCGGATGTTAGGTGAGGTGATTCTGTTCAGGGAGTAGAGTGCACTTGGACAATATGGCTTTGGAGTTCATGACACCTTGGACCTTTTGTGTTACTTAAAATCTAAACGTATAACCGTGCTACAAGCATCACTAACACATCAGCACCATGAGACCAGATGCCTGATCCTTCATCCTAATCCCTAATGTTGTTTGTTGTTCACTTGTTTGTTTGTGACAGAGTCTCCCTCTGTCACCCTGGCTAGAATGCAGTGGCATCATGATAATTCACTTCAGCCTCAAACTGCTGGACTTAGGCAATCCTCCTGTCTCAGCCTTTCCAGTAGCTGGGACTACAGGTGCACATATATTTTCTTTAAAGCAGTACAGTTCAAGCTAAAAATCACAATTTCTATGAGCTGGTTCATTGTTTCCACCTGTGGCATCTGGAAAACTGTTGAAAGGAAATTTTGTTCAAAAACAAAATAGCAGTTATTGTTTCTTACCACTCTTGTTATGGTGGGACACTCTTGGTGGGAAATGGACTCTTAGATGGGTCCCTCCTGTGGTCCTCTTGCTGGAGCAAATTGTCTGAGTCAGCTAAAACTTGGATACAATAGTTTGCTCACCTTTGCTGCAGAAATGGTTTCCCACCACCCTGTGATAGGTACAACCTGTGAGGAGGTTTGAGGTCGAGAAATGGCAACTCAGGAAAGATCTCCAAACCTACAATTATCCTAGGATATTAGAATAATGGTTATGAAAAGGAGGAAGCAATGTGTCATCTGTTGTCCCAGGGAAATGACAGACATCACCAGGGGTACGTTTCTGTTCAACACAAGTTTCTCACTGGGGCTGTCCAGCAAGCAATGGACTAAGCAGTTCATTTTCTTTCTCTGATCCGGATTCCATTGTGATGAGGATACTATAGAGAGACTGTGTCATGGTATGAAGTTAGATCACATCAGTGGTACTCAAGGGTGAAAGAGGAAAGGCAAGGCCGGGCGCGGTGGCTCACGCCTGTAATCCTAGCTCTCTGGGAGGCCGAGGCGGGCGGATTGTTTGAGCTCAGGAGTTCGAGACCAGCCTGAGCAAGAGCGAGACCCCGTCTCTACTAAAATTAGAAAGAAATTAATTGGATAACTAAAAATATATAGAAAAAATTAGCTGGGCATGGTGGCGCATGCCTGTAGTCCCAGCTACTCGGGAGGCTGAGGCAGGAGGATTGCTTGAGCCCAGGAGTTTGAGGTTGCTGTGAGCTAGGATGACACCACGGCACTCTGTCTCAAAAAAAAAAAAAAAAAAGAGGAAAGGCATATCAGAATCTCCCAGAAGCTGATGCAGTTACAAAAAGCATATATAATACAGTACTACACTTCAGATTTTTCTTATACTTAATTTGAAATGTCAAATAACACTAAAGGACAGCATTTGATTTGCTTAAATAAAGGAGTAACATCTAAAGCTCTTTCCAAATCATATTTTTGATTCTTTAAGAGGCTTGCCTGTGCCTAGCAGATCTAGTTCCATCTGTAAGACATCACGTTCTCTAAGAATCCAGGGCGGGGGTGCGGGGTCACAATGTCCTAAGGGTTTCTGTCCCAGCGCTGCTGGTCCCCGTGCACCATGCTTTACCTATCCCTGTTTCTGCATAGTTTAATCTTTCCATCAGGAATGCAGCTGTCTTCCAGTCTCAGTCCTCAGCCTCTCTTTCATTCTTACTTGCTCAATGCCGCCCCGGCTTTCCCCAAGGACTTTAGTAGATTTCGATCCCACGACTTTGTGGTCCTTGCCTCACAGTAATCAGCGTTATCTTACACTCTGCACAGGCACCCTTGTGCTAGTTTCCAACCGGCCAACTCACAGAAGTCGGACAATTAGGTTAGCCATTCCTCCTCCCCCAGACGCGCACCCACTAGGGCCGGCCATATCCCTGCGGGGACTCTCAAGGGTCGCTGGCGTCAGAAAAGGGCCACGGGCGCTTTCCCAACATCGGTCGCGGTCGTCAGTGGTATAACGGCTAGACATGCCCGGCGGGTTAGCAGTGAGGGCGGTAGAACCGGAAACGGAAGGGGGAAAGGGAGGCAAACGAGGCTCCGAAGGCCCGATGCCCTGTCCCAGTCCTTCATCCGGGGCCACATCCAGGGCCCGCCCTCCGCCGCCGGAAGTGACGCCAGAAGCGCCGGCCTCTCCGCAGTCTAGAGCGGCCCCGGAAAGGCTGTGGTTCCCCTGGGAGTGAGGGTGTTCGCGACCGGACGGCTGCCAGGCCCGCCCCTCCGCTCGGGTGAGTACCCAGAAGCCGTTCTGGGGTCGTAGAGGGGCAGCCACTTGTTTCGTCTCCCCGGGAGTAGGAGGAGGCGGCGCCTGGCCCTGGCCGGCGGCGGTTCCCTTCCCCAGGAGCGCGCAGAGGCCCGGGTGTGAGGGCCTGTTTATCCTCAGTCCTGGTTCGCCCCGCAGACTGAGGGCCCCACCGTCCGGCCCCGGTGATCCCACCGTAGGACCCGGTGCCCTAGTGTGAGCTGGGTCTGTATGGCGCGCCCAGCCCCTTTGGGACTGTGTCTTCGCCTAACTAAAAGGGAAATGGGAAGAGGGCAGCACCGCTGGGCAAGGCCTTCTGAGAACCCGGCTAGGAGCTGGGCGGGGCTCCTTAGTGAGGGTTGTGGAAGGAGGACGGAGCCCTGTCACGTCCTTGGGTATGAAGGACACCAGTTAAACCTGTTTGAATCACAGCTCTTCTCTGTGTTACCTCAGGATTGTGGGAAAAGGCCTGCCCACCTAGTCTGCCTTAGCAAAAGATCTGACCCCAAAAGTGGAGTTTTGTTATTAGTCAAGCCCATTTGGTAATTCAAAGTGGGCTGACAGACTGTTACCAGGTAATTCCTAAGGGGCTTCCTTTTAAAAAAAAATAATGAGCAATCCTAACTAGAGTATTTCTCTGGCTATAAACTTCAGCCTCCAAAGGAGGTTGCAAATTTTAAATATTTCAAACTTTCCAGAGAAAGCTTTACACTTTTAAATTGTACTGTGTTGATTATTTTTAATACCACAAATTCTGAATTAGTGAAGTTCAATTAAACCTGCATACTGGGATCATATGATTTGGTTCTTAAGTATTTGAAACCGAATAATATGCATTTTTCTTCCTGTTATTTATTTTGGGTGGTTAATCATTATCAACTATTTTTTACTGAGTATTTACAGTGCATAAGATACTTTGCTAAATCCTGAGGATATACAATGATGGGGTATTTTAACTTACTGTAGTAATTTCTCTTAATCTCACCTCACAGTGATGGTCATTGTCCTCCAGAACAGTGATGGAGGAACTGTTGGCCCAGGAAGCAGCAGGATCACCAAGGATCCAGTTTCAGTCTTTGGAGACTCAGTCTGAGGGTCTGTTCCCAGAGCCTCAGTTCATACAGGACACCGACATGGAGCAGGGACTCACTGGGGGTAAGGCAGAGACAGCACTTACATCCAGGAGAATGGGCATGTAGAGGGGCTCCTGAGGGGGCTTCTGGGCCTGGTATGAAAGAGGCCAGGGACTTGAATAAGAGGATGGCCCCTAGAGGGAGGACTGGAAGGGAGGGGCTGATGTGACTCAATTCAGTCCTGGGCTGGGCCCCTCTATTAAGGACAGCTTGTCTTTCTTTAATTAGCAGAGTGGTAGTCACTTTGCTCTGGCTTTTTTTCCTTCAGATAACCTTCTCTTCATCCCAGTTACCACATCCAGAATAATTTCTGAGATACGCTGCTTTTGCCACATCTCACAATCCTTGCCTAGTTCTCACTTCCTCTTAGATTCAGGACCTTTCCCCTCCCCCTATTCCCTTCACTTAGTTTCTCTTTCCTTTGCTTTGCTACCTGCCATTCTGTTGTAATTTCAGTGTTTGTGACTAATCTAATTTTGGCCAAGAAAGCAACCCTTAAATTTCTTGATTGTGCACAATGCCTGTATAAATGTATACATACTACATTTTGACTATATAATCATATTTTTATGTATTGTTAGGTTGGTCTTTTTCTTCCTTTGTTTTGTAAGAACTGTGTCTTAGATTGCTTGTGGCCAACTCCAGTGCTTGAAATAACTTGCGTGTCAGCAACACAGATCGAGTGCCAGAGTGTGTAGAGTGCTGTTGGGCATTGTGGGAGTGCGGAAAGGATTGTCAGGAAACATGAACTTTCCTTGTTCTTGTGGGCCTCCCATACTGGTTGCAGAGACAGTGAAAGAGAGAAGCTTAGTGAAGTTTACAGAACAGTGTCTGGGAAAGGGTCAGAAATCTACTAAATAACTCTGGCCCTGGACAAGTCACCGCAAGTCTTTTTGCTTTGCTTTGCCCATCTGCAAAACAGGTATAGTGCTTACGCTTCTGTGAGAGGAATGTTATGCCATGAGGATAAAGTGAAACATAAGATTTCGTAATAAGATTCTGTATTGCAGGTCTGAACATGCATAAGCAGGGCATGCAGGTCCTGAGAATGAACAGGGTAGACCCACCCAGTACCTGATAATTGTTCATTGGTTTTACTGGAATATTAATGTGAAGGCGGGTCCCACTGACACCTTTGGGCTGGAGAGGCCTCTTCTGAAAGGGAGCCTTGGGGAAGGGCTGCTCTCACTCTTGGCTCCTTTCTCCTCCCTCAGCTCCACCTGTTCCCCAGGTGCCTGCTCTTCCCCATGAGGGAAGCCCAGGAGACCAGGCAGCTGCGCTCATGACAGCCAGGTACCAGGTGAGCTGAGGAACCCTTTGTTTTTCCTCAGGGACTGTTGCTGCTGATGGAGTGTGGCCTCTGCCTCATCCCATCTGTAGACCTTGCCTGGAATTTTTTTCAGTAGTAGATCCCAGTTTGGGAACCGATCCTGTTCAGAGATCTGGATGTCACACAGAGCACCTTCCTATCTCCCCAGTACCATCTGCAAACACTGTTCCTTCTTTGTCCATGGTTCTGTGATGGGCACTTATTAGATGTTTAAGGGTTATGGGATTTATTCCCTAGGTTCTAATCTGTTCTCCCTCCTTCCCAACATAAATACATCCTCTCTTTCATCTCGTTCTCTGGCCATGTTGCTACAATGGTCTCATTCCCCAGAGCAGCCAGGATGTGTTATTTCAGGAGTTTGTGACATTCGAGGATGTGGCTGTGCACCTTACTCGAGAGGAATGGGGATACCTGGACCCTGTTCAGAGGGACCTCTACAGAGAAGTGATGTTAGAGAATTATGGGAACGTGGTCTCACTGGGTAAGGACTACCTTATTATTCAATTTACCTATTTGGATTTTTTTACTTTCTTGTTTCTGTGTGGTCTTTGAGGTCAGTAGAGTGTGGCTTTGATTCCAGGTCTTAAAACCTTTGAATCCTCTATCTTTAAGGTCACTCCTCTGGAAGGGGTGATTAAGGTTCCTTTGAGAGTGTTAAGAGGATACACTCTACTTCTTATCCCCAGTTCATGTTTCCTACTTTTGTGGGGCATCTGTTCCCTGTTAGCAAAGGGAAACTTTCTTATGCTTTGCCTGAATTCTCATCTTCCCTGTCTTTTCCTTTTTCATAGGTGAGACCCTGGGTGGCCTCCCAACCCCCAGTCAGACATTTTCCTCTGTTGTATCTTAGTGCCCCTGTATCTGAGAGTTTTCCATTTTCCTAGAAAGAAGAAATGCCTTTTTAAAAGATGAGTTAAAATCCTTCTTGTTGAGTAGTCCCTCACCTCTTAAGATGCCAAAATCTGTCTCCAAGCAGGCAGAATTTGAGAGACTTCATTTGAAGGCATCACTCACTGTGAGTACATTTCAGTGAGTCACCCAGATGGTAATCCCAAGAAACCACACCCAGGGCAGCAGAAGTTTCAGACATTTACCTCACAGTAAGGTGGGGTCAGTTATTAAACCATGTCTCTCCTTTGTCATTTTGAATGGTACAGTAGGTGGCTGGGATTAGGAACCTATAGTGCTGTTGAGACACATCAATAGGGGTTATTGGCTGCCCCCTACTGTTCGTTTTTCTCTCTTTTTTTTTTTTTTGCCTGTTTCTGCTTCTGCACTCTTCTTTTTGTGTATGTATGTATTTAGAACACTTTTTCTTTTCTTTTTTTTCGGCTTTTCCTATGCTGGTGGTATCCAGGGCATTGCCTTGTCTCCCTGATTACGCTCAGGATTCAAAAAGTGTTATCCGTGGGGAGGCAGCCTGCCCACTGAGAAGGTTTTTCGTGTGTTTTCCATTCCTGGCTCTTTGATCTTTATAGGCATACTTCTCCGCCTTCCCATCACCCGGATTCATAGTGTGAATTCCTGCCCGGCCCTGAGTCATACCCAGGCAAGTGCTTTCTCTGGAGAAACACTTGCAGTCCTTAAAGCAGGAATCTCCAAGAGATGGCCCAAGTATCGGCTTCCCATCGATATTGCTCGTCCCTGCTCGGAAACTCCTTTTCCACGATTGTAAGATATTAAACTTGACTGCTGGAATAGAAGCTCCCCAGGATGCCACCACTATGTAAAATTGCAGCTCCTCAAATGACCTTTGTTAAATTTCTAATGTAAGGGGCCAGGAAGCCCTCTGTTGGAACCAGATGTATTTTGAAGCCAGATCATTCACAAACCATGGTTGGTGGTCATCTACTTGTGTTCTGAGAAACCACAGAGTTCAACTTCAGCTCTTCAGTTATGATCTTTTCATGTTATTTTAGAATGTGGAACATACACTGTGTGCCCCTCCTTTTATGTAGTGGACACGACCTGCCCCTTATATTGCCTAACTCTCCTGCAACCCCTGGGCTTTCCTCATGTTTAACATTCTAGTTTTCTCCCTTTTCAAAGACCTACCTTCCTCCCTTTTATTCTTTGTGGTACTATACACATTGATGCATTTATATTACCTTTCCTGAGTAATTGTTCTTTAGCACTGTCCTTGATGGAGGGGCAAAGGGAGGGCAGAAAAGTTAAATTTCTTTATTTCACGGTATCAAAAGGAATGTTTATTTAATAACTTTGTAAACTGTAAAGTGATATAATTGTAAACTACTGTTAATTTTTCCTAATAATTACAGAATTTCCAACAGTTAACTTGTCTACTTTTTGGAGTAAAGAAACTTTGTAGCAATTTAATGCAGTCTAATAGCACAGCATGCTATAGACTGAACTTTTCCCGTTTTCCTCTGTCATCTCTGCATGCACACAGGACATGCATGCATGCTCACACATACCAGGCACACACGCACACAAGAAACCCTCCTACTTAACTTGCTTTTGTGACCAAGTTACCAGTATCTCCTTAACAATTATTTTTACAGTCTTTAGGAAGTCATTTTCGTATTTGTGGGTTCAGCTAACTCCACCTGAAATTTAAGTTTATACATTTATTAGCTTACTGTTTGGGGTTGTAAAATAAGACTTTATAAGTCAGTCCTTGACTTAGCAGGGACTTTCTGGTTCACGTCTTTTTTCTATGGCAGTAGCTCTGGATTGTATTTGTCAACAGACATCAGAATTTTGGTGCTTTGGTTAAGTGTGTCCACTACATAGTAGTAAATATACAAAGTATAAATAGCTGGGTAAAAAAGTAGGTAATAAATAATTTTCATTACCAAATCAAAAAAGAAGCACATTCTGTTGACAGTGAATGAATAATTGGCTTGAGGGTCATACCCATAGAGAAGTTACTTGTGACTTAGTGTTGGAGACTCAGGGAACTGGGTTGCATTTCACATGGGTCAGTGTGGCAGGTACCCTATCAGATGATGGCTTTAGAAACATGCTTGTCCAAATTCTAGTTGATGTTAACTGAGTTGATAGGTCAGGAATGTTTGGCACATACCCCTTGCTTTTTGAACTTGATGTCATGGAAGACGACCACTGTTTCACAGCTATTCACTGTTTCCTCAGCAGCCAATGTGTTACTAGTTATATATGTCGGTATGTATGTGTGTGTGTGTGTGTGTGTATCTCATTTAATCCTTAGCACAACCCTGTGAGCAAATGATATTACTCCTATTTTATATTTGAGGAAACTGAGGCTCAGAACAGTTAAGTGATCTTTGCATGGTTAATGATAGGCTTGGGACCCAGACATGTCTCTGAAGCCCATGTTCTTTTTCACTATTTTGTGCCTTAGAACAATTAGTCTAACTGTGTATGGAGTTTTTTATATTTTTAATGAGTTGTGTTGTACTCTGATTATAAGAAAAATTCAAATGGCCATGATAAATTAGGCCAATTTATACAGTTGGGGACAAGAAAGGACATGCAAGTAAAACTGTCCAGGGATACATTCCAGTACTCACAGGTATCTACAAAAGAGTGATATTGCCAAGGGTAGATTTTATCTGTGTATTTATTACGGACAAGGAAGAAAAGCATGATGCTTCCAGATGGCTAAAATCTTAGCACAACTCTGGTAAAAGAAGCAAATCAAATAATAAGGTAAATTTTAAATGTTATGTTTAAAGACCAGATTAAACTAAATCTTATTAGAAAACTCTCAAGATTTAAATAAAATCAAGAGGTTTTAATAAAAAATTAATTTTAAATAGGAAAAATTTAAAGCAAGTGCATATTTTGAAAGCATAGAGTTCTCAGTTAAATTTAGGAAAAAGGCATTTGGGTCAATGGCAAGAAAACCTGTTTCAGTGCTTTTTGTGACAGCCAGTATAGTAGATTGGAAAGGATATGAACTGTGGAATCAAACTTGGGTTCCACTTACTAGCTGTAATATGTTCAGCAAATTATTTAGTCTGATACTTTCTTCATCTATAAAATATGAAAAATGATGTCTATCTTTCTGGGTTGTATGAGGATTAAATTAGATTATGTATTTAAGTACCTGGCTCATGCTAGTTACTTTAATATTTTTGAAAGAACAGCAAGTGATATGAGATATAGACCCAATTTTTTAATATAAATAAAAATTTCAGGAGTGTGTACAAATTATATCTTGATTTTTTTCCTTTTTTTTAAAATCATGGACCTGCCTATAAATTATTTCTTTATAGTGGAATTTATTCAAATTGAATATTGCTTGAACTACTGTCTAAGGGTTTGGATTTTTATTATAAAAAGATTTGCATTTCTTTGACAAGGAATGATCTCTCTCTTTTTTTTTTTTAGACAGAGTCTCGCTCTGTTGCCCGGGCTAGAGTGCTGTGACGTCAGCCTAGCTCACAGCAACCTCCAACTCCTGGGCTCAAACAATTCTCCTGCCTCAGCCTCCCCAGTAGCTGGGACTACAGGTGCATGCACCATGCCCGGCTAATTTTTTCTATTTTTAGTAGAGATGGAGTCTTACCCTTGCTCAGGCTGGTCTCGAACTCCTGACCTCAAGTGATCTTCCCGCCTTGGCCTCCCAGAGCGCTAGGATTACAGGCATGAGCCACTGCATCTGGCCAATGATCTCTTTTAATTAAAACTCTTTGACTCCAAATCCTTAGGATCCTGGCTCTCTGTGTGTTATTCTAATCACTTTTTCTCTGTTGTTCATACTGTTTTTACCTTTTACTCCATCGTCAGTATATTGGTCTTCTTCTCTTTCTGTAAGTATTTTGGAGGAAAGGATGAATTTCATTCACAATCATTATTTTTTACTAGTAGGTTGTTTAAAAGCCAGGTCCTGAAATAGGGCTGTTTGAGTTTGAGAGGTAGCTTCACCAGTTATTATAACCTTGAGCAAGTTACTTCTGAATCTCTGAATCTTAGTATTCCCATTTGTAAAGTGGGTATGATAATAGTTTTTACCTGATAAAGTTTTGGTGAGTATAAAATGAGTGAAAACTTGTAAAGCTCTCAGCATGGTACTTTGCACCTACCTAGTACTTGTTAAACCTTAATATTTTGATGATACTGATGATACAGGTAACTTTATGTTTATATCTTGAACCCTGTTCTTTCTTCTAAACTATATTCTTGTATCTCTAATTGCCTGCTAGGCATTTTCTCTTATACCTTCCTTCATTACCTTAAACACAAGTCTGAAATCAAACCCCTCGTCCCACATGAAGACAACCTTTTTTGTTGTGCATATGTGTTTTAAATATAGATACGGAGTAAATAACCAAAATTTGTTTCAGTTATCAAATACTGAGAAACACCTTAATAAATATCTCAAAGTTAAAAGTTGCAAATTATGTTATTGGAATTTTGAGCACAATGTTGCTGCTTCATGTCACACGCTTTACTTTTTAAATTTGCAAAACATTTGACATGAGAACCTTAATTAGTGTCCAAAAAGAGAACTGATTGTATTAATGCTCAGCATGAATTCAGAAACACAATAAATACTGTTCTTATATCTGTTCTAATCTCTTGCTGATAGGCTCTCACATGGGATCTGAGGGGGGCAGCTGTTCATCATATTTTCCAGTCCAATGCCCTTTTTATAAAATCGGGTAGCTGTTCATATATTGACACTTGGGGACAAGTTGGCACTTAATAAATAGCTATTAAGTAAATGAATCAAAAGGAGTGCAAGATACAAGATACATGGTCACTGCTATCAAAGAGTTTATAAATCAAGTAGGGATGATAATACCTAAAACCACTTAAAAAAATCTGTATAAATGCTATTATATGATGATATGTCAGGATAAGGGAAACAAGTAGTAAATATTATAGACCTTCAGTAAATGGAGAGACTTTTGGAGATGAGGAGCTTGAGTTAGACCTTGTATGTGGGCTGCTAGAAGCTTTCTGGGCTAAACATATAAAAATTGCCCTTCAATGCCAATAGTATCAAGTTCTGTCCCCTCAGAAGCAGATTGCCTGTTGATTTAGCTTTAAAAGAAATTTAGACCCAAGCAGTCCATTATGCAAGCTATGGAGAGACCATTTTATGTGAAGATACACTTTTATGGAACTTTCCTCACTATGCCTTTCTGTAGTTAGTTGTTTATAGCTGTCTCTGTAAAGCGTGAGGTCCTTGAGGGGATGGACCTTTCGCGTGGGCTCTTTATCCCCTGCATACTTCATATGTAGGAGGCACTCCTTAAATGTTCGTTGAATAAATAGTAAGCTCGTAATGGATAAGGGTGTGTCATATTATTCTTAGTTTCCTCATATGCACTGAAACTGATTATTTCTTGAGATTGGTCCTTGGAATATTTATTCAGTTTTCATTGACTCTGTTGCTACCATTTAGCTCACCATGCAGCAGCAGGTGCTTGAGTTTCACCTTTCTCTAGTCCAGCAAAATTGTATTTTTATAACCTCCATTTTGATACTTACAGACCAAGTTTAATACAAAGATCTTTAGGCAACAGATGGAGCATGGTAATGATAACTTCTATGAAAACAGGTACACACCCATGCACAAATTCCCTTGTCAGAATAACGTTTAAATGACTGGCTTCTGCTCTCAAGTCATCTTGCCCATTAACATACCTCTTTCTAGAGCACAAATCTGAGCTCCTTGTAGAGCATCTTTGCCCTCCTCACGCTCCTGGTCTTCCTAATTAATGTCTTCTTAGAACTTACTGTCTCTCTCTGTTGACCATTAGTTAAAATAAAAAGTGGCTTGTGTGGCATCTGGGGATAAATTGCCACATCCCATTTCCTTCTCTATGATCAGGATTTCCAATTTCCAAGCCTGATGGGATCTCCCAGCTGGAACAAGATCTACAGATCTTTGATCTGGAAACTAAGAATAGAGAAGTCTTAAGAGATGACTACTCAGGTGAGTAAGGCAGCATCAAGCAGATGGAATTAGTAGGGAAGTAAAGTGCAGTTATGGAGCCAAGTTGTAGTTGCTCTTGCACTCAAAGTGAAGAGCTCTGTCTGTGTCCCAGAATGGAGAGCTCCTTCCTTTGCCCTTCAGTTTAGGTTGACCCTGTCCGTTTATTTAGTCCCTTATGCCCAAGTTGTACTAGGTCCCTATTCAAGAAGCTTATCTAAAATTCTTTTAAACTATTTCCCTATTATCTCCTTTGAAACACCTTAACTGCTTATGTTACTCTGCTGAACATGTCCTCTGTTTCTGCCACACTCTGAACCATTTGGATCCTATCTCACTGCTCCTATTAATGCCCATACACCCGTTGTTGAGATTTTGTGCCTATTTTTGAGAGTAAATAAACTTCACTTATCATCTTATCTTTGTAGATACTACATTGTTTCATTTTCTCCTCTCTTTGAGTTTTCTTTTTCTATGTACAGGATACAGATTACATGTGCATTTTCTATTTATATATTGTATCAGATGGAGAGACCAGAGAAGAGAAGCTGTTGATTCCTAAGCAGAAAATTTCGGAAGAAGTACATTCATACAAAGTGAGAGTAGGAAGACTCAAACAGGATATTGCCCAAGTTCCTGATACTAGAGAAGTGTGTAAGTCTGAGGACAGATTAGAAAGGCTTCAGGAAATTCTAAGGAAATTTCTCTTCCTGGAGAGAGAGTTTAGACAAATAACAATCTGCAAGGAAAGCTTCACCAGTGAGAAGAACAATGAATGCAGTGAACCTGAAAAAAGCTTCAGTGTGGAGTCTACCATTGATACAGATCAGAGAGTTCTTAGAATACAGAATATTGATGACAATGATAAATACGACATGAGCTTCAAGCAGAATGCAGCTGCTGATAAACATGAACACATAAATCTAACACAGAATTTTCAGAGTAGTGAGTACAAGGAAAGCTTAATGGATCTCTCCCACCTTAATACATGGGAGAACATTTCTACCACGGAGAAATCCTGTAAGTGTGATGTGTGTGGGAAAATGTTCCTTCAGAGCTCAGCCCTTATTAGACATCAGAGAATTCATACTAGAGAGAAACCCTACAAATGTAAAGAATGTGAAAAATCTTTCAGTCAGAGCTCAAGTCTTAGTCGACATAAAAGAATACATGCTAGAGAAAAACCCTATAAATGTGAAGCATCTGATAAATCCTGTGAAGTGTCTGATAAGTCCTGTAGTCAAAGTTCAGGCATAATTCAACATAAGAAAATTCACACCAGAGCCAAATCTTATAAGTGTAGCAATTGTGAAAGAGTCTTCAGTCGTAGTGTGCACCTTACTCAACATCAGAGGATTCACAGAGAGATGCCCTGTAAGTGTACTGTATGTGGCAGTGACTTCTGTCATACTTCATACCTAGTTGAACATCAGAGGGTCCACCAAGAATCGAAATCCTATGAGTACGGTGAGTGTGGGTTGGCCTATATTAAACATCAAGGACTTCGTTTCAGAGAAAAGCCCTATACATGTAATGAATGTGGAAAAGACTTCAGATTGAATTCACATCTTATTCAGCATCAAAGAATTCACACAGGAGAGAAACCACACGAATGTAATGAATGTGGAAAAGCTTTCAGTCAAACCTCATGCCTTATTCAGCATCACAAAATGCACAGAAAAGATAAGTCATATGAATGTAATGATTATGAGGAAAGTTTCAGTCATAGCTCAGATCTTATCCTGCAACAAGAAGTCCTCACCAGACAAAAAGTCTTTGATTGTGATGCATGGGAAAAGAACTTCAGTCAGAGAGCGCACCTGGTTCAGCATGAAAGAATTCATACCAAAGAGAAACCTTATGAATGTAATGAACATGGGAAGACATTTAGTCAAGTTCAGGCTTCATTCAGCATTTGAGAGTTCACACCAGGGAGAACTCATGTAGGTACTGAATGTGGTAAAAGCCTTTAGTCATAGCTCAACCCTTACTCAGCATCAGAGAATTCACACCAGAGAGAAACCCTCTTGAATGTGACAAACGCAGGAAAGCTATTAGTGTTAAACTCTTAATCAACTCCTACAAATCCATACCAGTGCGAAAATCTATGAATGTATTGAATGTGTTAAATTCTTCATGCTATTTTCATACCTTAATCGTAATTGGAAAGTTCATACTGGAATAAAATTCCATTACTGAAATGAATGTGAAAAAGCCATCAAACTACCTTGTTTGGTATCAAATTCATGTCATATAGAAAGCTTATGAATGTAATAAATATGTATGTGTGTATGAGGAGATGCAGGCATAACCCAGTGCTCATTCAGTATCAAAGGATCTAGCCCCAAGAGAAGTCATCTGAGTGTAGTAAATGTGGCAAATCTTTCTGTAATTCATCTAGTCTTTGTCACAATCAGAATATCCATACCAGATGAGAATTCAATAAAATGCAAATGGAAAAATTTGACACCGTATTTCAGGCTTTACCCAACATCAAGATATTGGAGAGAAAATTGTTGATTATTTGTATATGAAACTGTTAATATATATTAACATAATCCCAATCTTCATTGCAAAAGAATCTAGTCTGAGGGGTGACATGGTGAATGCAGTGCCATTATCTCGTGGCATTCCTTTATTTAATAAGTGTTCTAAGTAGGTATGTATATTTATACGATCAGCAATTTTTATTTTAATATGGCCTATAAACATTTTAATTTTTCTTGAAATTTGTTCTTGTTCACAACTTCCATAAGATACCATTAATGCACCAGTGTTAAACATCAGCTTCAAGTAGCTAATTTAGCTTTTTCTGCTATTCTGTGCCCAAGTTCTCTCCAAAACAGACTCCTAGGCCTGCTCTTTTTAAAGGACCCTACATGGTATTCCTTTACAGCCACAACACTTGGATTGGTGTTGATTTCTCCATTCTCTTAAGCACATTCAAATGATGGTTTCCTAGTTTTAAGCTTTTCACCAGCAGGTATGCTGTCCATACTTGATGTTACTGGTCTGGTGTCTTTCCCAAAGCGAGGCATCTTTTTGAAAGGAATTGGATTTCCACATCCAGTCCATTTATAAGTATGAAGGGTTCAGTTTTCCCTGAGTTTGTGGCAGGCAGCTAAACATTGTCAAGTGACACCTGAGTTTTTACCTGCCTTGTCTGCATCCATAGCCTGAGAAAAGAGATGATAAGGACATCTGGGAGCCAGCAAGACTCCTGGTGGCCTAACTACATTCATTTAGTGCCTATTCTGCATGCCTAAGTTCAGAATTCTTTATATACCTCTATTTATGGCCAGCAAAATGCTCAGGTCTGCTTTTGATAGGGCAAACATAAAGAACATATGAAAAAATCAGCATCATAAGGAAATTCAGCGTTCCAACAAAGAATGCTTTTCTTATGTGGTGTCTTCAGAGACAGTATTTCAAGAGAGTGGCAGGTTTGTTCCTGGTAAAATTTTAACCATTAGGATTGCTGCTTTATCTCTTTGGATCCCCCTACCCACAGTCTCCCCTCCTCAATCCAGGGTAGTATTTGAAGTGTGGGAGCTTTGTGTATAATTGTTCATTCATCCCATTTTTGTATTTTAATGGAGTCTGCACACCATATAAAAGAACATGATTGATAAAAGTGATCACAGATGTTGGCTCCAGAGTTTAGGGTCACCGTCATCTACCTAGCAAGAGTTCATGATTCTTTAGGTCATGTCAAAGCATTTTATTATATTTTTCCTTAAGTTTTACAACAGTTAGTGAATAAGACAAGTATTATTAAAAGTTCCAGCAATTGAGGCTTTTATACTTCAGATATTATCATATTCACTAGGAATCCTCAACAAATATATGAAAATTTATTGCTCACTCTCTAAGCCTCTTGTAGTTAACCTCTAGGATAGTTCTGCCACTATATTTTACTTCTTAGCCATCAGCAAGAATAGGATCTCATCAAGGCAAGGTAGGGATCTAAATGAAATCTATATATATATATATGAATGAGTTGATCTAAATGTAAAATCAAATGAAAAATGCATGTTTTTCCCCTATCAAACATGTATACTCGTACTTGCCAGTAGCCACCTGTGCTGACTGTGAAACAGGATTACATAATCCTTAAAAAGCGGAGTATGTAAAAATCACATGTATGCATTTGGTGTAGGAATGTTCTTTTGTACTTCCACTTGAATAAAGGTGTGTTTGATATTCTGAGAATCTGTTTCAAAAAAATCTGAAGGCCTCAGCCAGCAGCATTTGGGAATCTTGGAATCACCTTCGTGGCTTCAACTCAGTTCCTCACTGAAACTTGCTTCACAGCAAGAGTGGATTACTCTCCTTTTTGTTGATACAAAGCCTGACTTTCCACAGACCTCTGGAACAAATGCTGAATATTTGGGATTTAAAGGGTTATTCAATTAGGATATTATTGGTACATAAAATAAGAGTAAATAGTTTGAGGTTTCAGTAGAACTAGGAAGAATGTGCTTTCTTAGTAAGAAACACATTTTTAAAGATGAGAAATCAAAATAATCCTTGAGGGCAAGTAACTTGCCTCTTTAAGCAGACATTTAATTCGTCCAATATAAGTCTGTGTTCTTAGTCTTTTTGGTCCTAAGGGGAAGGGAAGAGAAGAAATCTAATAGTATAGGGACACCCGATTTATTTATCTTTTTCCCCATCTACCTGCATGTGCATGTATGTATGAACATATTCAAACTTAGTTCTCACAACAATTCTGCAAGGGAGTTAGCTCCATTTTACAGAGGAACTGAGGTATAGAAGAATTAGAGAACTTGTTAGGATCTCACAGCAAGTTAATGGATCAAAGTCAAGTCTGTTTGACCCCAAAGCATTCCATCATCATGGTGTTGGTGTTAAACACATCTTGGAACCCAGAGTTTTCTTTGGTAGCTAGCTCTTCATTCCGTATTATATCCCTAATGATTTCACTATCATCAGTTTGCAACCAATCCCAACTGCTCCCAGAGTTCTCTGGGATGCTAGGAGGGGACATTCTGCGATATATTAGGAGCTAGTCAAACCCCCTCCTTCAAATAGGCTTAGACTTTATTTGTTTGTTTTAGATAGAGGGTCTCACTCTGTCGCCCAGGCTGGAGTGCAGTGGCAGGATCATAGCTCCACTGCAGCTTTGAACTCCTGGGCTCAAGTGATCCTCCAGCCTCAGTCTCCCAAGTAGCTAGGGCTACAGGTATATGCCACCATTCCCAGCTAATTTTTCTTATTTTTTGTAGAGACAGGGTTTCATTATGTTACCCAGGCTGGTCTTATGCTCCTGGCCTCAAGTGATCCTCCTTCCTCAGCCTCCCCAAGTGCTGAGATTACAGGTGTGAGCCACCACGCCTAGTGGCTTAGACAATTTTGACAATGACAGGTCACAGGTCAAAGCTCCCAAATTCCTATCTCCTAGCAAGACACCCCTGTGCCCATCAATAAATTTACATTTCCATTTCTCAGTGCCCCACATTTTTTCTTGCTAATCAGAACTTGCTGATGTACATATCTCTTTAATGTTAACCAAAAAAATAATAAATGGTGAAATTTATACTTTGGAAAAAGAAGAGCTTTATTTCTCATAAAGGGTAGCCCCCTGTTGGGTGGCCATTCCAACAGGTTGGGAAGCAGAGCAGCAGCCAGAAGCCAGGCACATACGCTTCAAAGAAGAGACAAAAGGGAACAGGATTTTATACTGAGCTGTGTGGTAAAATACATTAATACATGTTTAACAAGCTATAGGAGGAGTCATGAATATTTATGAAGGGAAATCATGCACATGTAATTGTGCTCTATCTCTCCCATCCCATCATGGCTGGGAACTCAGTTTTAAGGTGTTTCTGAGGCCCTCTTGGCTGAGAGGGGTCCATTCAGTTAGTAGAGGGCTTAGGATTTTATTTTTAGTTCACACTATGTAAGATTTATTATCACCTCTGGTTATATTATAGCAGTGGGGCAAAGTGGTAATGGGAAGAATCAAGTTTGATTCCCAGGTTTTTGGATTGAGCAAAAGGATGGATAGAGGTAACCTGGAAAGGTGGGGAACACTGGAAGAGGAGCAGGGAGGGTATTTTAGGCAAAAGAGTTGGCATGTCAGAAGGCCTACAGATGAACAAGTATGGCATTTTCAAGGTAATGAATAAGTGAGCTTTCTGGAGAAATGCCTCATCCTAGGAAATATTAATATTATATGGGCAACTGAGGAGGTTTAAGAACAAAGTTCAAGGGAGGCCCTTAGTCATCTAGACAGCAAAGCACTATGGGATTCCATAGCTAAAAATGTAACCTCATCCATTCATTCAGTAATACAATTTCTAGGCACTACGATAATCAGTACTAGCCAATGGATACAGTTGACCTAATGAATTAAACTGTCCATCGGATAAAGATGACTACAGGTTAGAGTAGTAGTCAAAGCAATGACTGGAATTAGATGTACCTATATTTGAGCTTTGCTCTACTGTTTATTAGCTGTGTGATGGGGAATTTTACTTAAGCTTGCTAGTTTCCTTGTCTACACAATAATACCATTATGAAAGTTAAATGAGATAATTAAAAGGTACTGGTCACATAGTAAGTACTTACAATGTTACAAATACAAATACTCATATAAAGACCAATAAATTAGAAGAGAGATAGTATAAAGTATAAAAAAGGTATTAGTGAGCAAACAGCAGTGTAGGACTAGCATTGTCTGAGGACCTTGGATTTGGAGCCCACTCATATATGACTGGAGAAAAGATCAGGCACCCTGGGCTGTGGTAAGAACTGCCTCCCAACAGGCACTCCCTGCTGGAGTCAGCAAACTGACATCGGCCTCTTTTTTCTAACGTTCTTTATCATATGGCATCACATCTTACGCTCCCTTCAAAATACGAGTGTCTGAAGGAGCCGATGTTTAGTCCAAGACTGTAAGAATGATTTCAAACAGATGGGGTGCCCTTTACAAATCAACAGGGAAAAAGGTATTGGGATTTTTAAATCATTTTGGTAACACTTCCTATTTACTCTCTTCACTTTTAGAAAATGGTTAGCCTCTTGTAGTTCATTCATGTTTATAAACTTACAACTTGGGCATAATTACAAGCGTCTGTGTTTTCTTTTCCTTATTTGCTCATGTTACACATCTCCACTCAGTCTTTCTCCACTGGCCTTCATGGGTGTGGTTAGACGCCTGGGCTCAAATGCTGCAGTTGCTGCTCACTAACTTTGCAGCTGCTGGCATGTAAGATCGTAAAAAATGCCACCTTCATAGGATTGCTGTGAGGAATAATGATAATGTCAGTTTCAGTGCTCCATTACTGGTAGCTGCTGTT